AATGCTCTGTCTGTCAAAAGAAATTTGCAGTAAAAGCAACGTTTGACCGTCACCTAAGGACACACAAGGATCCATTTAAGTGTTCTCACTGTGAAAAGAAATTTACTTCAAAGACTAAGCTTGACTGTCACCTCAAAAAGCACAGGAAGCCCTTTGAATGTTCTCACTGCAAAAAGAAATTCAAAGGGGAGAAAACTTTTAATCGCCATCTAAGAACACATAGCGAGAAGTTTGAATGCTCTCATTGTAAAAAAGAGTTTGCATCTTTGGCAAGGCTGAGGCGTCATCTAGTGACACATGAAAAGCCATTTGAATGCTCTTACTGCCAAAAGAAATTTGCAGTTGAGAAAACATTGAATTGTCACCTAAGAATGCATGAGAAGCCATTTGAATGCTCTTACTGTCAAAAGAAATATGCAGTTGAGAAAACATTGAAGTGTCACCTAAGAATGCATGAGAAGCCATTTGAATGCTCCAACTGCCAAAAGAAGTTTGCAGCTGAGGAAAAGTTGAAGCGTCATCTAAAAACACACGAAAAGGCATTTGAATGTTGTTATTGCCAAAAGAAAATTGCTGATAAGACAAAACTTGAACGTCATTTAAGACAACATGAGAAACCATTTGAATGCCCTCACTGTGAAAAGAAATATTCACATGAGGTCATACTGAAGCAGCATCTAAAATCACATGAATTCTTTGAATGTTCTTATTGTCAAAAGAAATTTGCAGCTAAGAGCAAGCTCAAACGGCATCTAAAAGTACATGAGAAACCCTTGGAAAGCAGTCATCAGTCATATGAATGCTCTTACTGTCAAAAGAAATTGATAACCTTACGTTATTTGCAAGAGCATGAAAGGACACACACTGGAGAGAAGCCATTTAAATGTTCTTACTGCGAAAAGGCATTTGGACAGAAAAGGGCTTTGAAGCGGCACACGTTAGGGCACACTGGAGACACGCCCTATGAATGCTCTCACTGCAAAAGGAAATTTTCGGAAAGGGCTACTTTAGTATATCATGAGAGAACGCACACTGGAGAGAAGCCATTTGAATGTTCTTACTGTGAAAAGAAATTTGTATGTAAAAACTTGTTGAGAAGTCATTTAAGAGTACATGGTGTAGACAAGCCCTTTCAATGCACTGAATGCGATAGGAAATATGCAAACAAGATACAATTAAACAGCCATTTTGCTAAATCGCACATGAATCCAAAGAAGTTTGAATGCTCTTTCTGTGWAGAAAAGTTTGCCTATGAATATGATTTAACATGTCACGAGAAAACACACACTGGAGAGAAGCCTTTTGAATGCACTCAGTGCGAATACAAAACCTATCAAAGTAAAAGTTTGAAAATTCACCTTAAAAYGCACCGGAAGACACAAGAAACTCAGAAAGAAGACCCTCCTGAAAGAGAGAAGCCTTTTGAATGTTCTGTCTGTCAGAAGAAGTTTGCAAGAAAGAATGATTTGGCACGGCACACAATGACGCATACTGGTGAGAGACCCTTTGAATGTTCTATCTGCAAAAGGAAATTTCGACGAAAAAC